GAACTTTTCCACGACATTCTAATTTATTGAGATGCACTTGTAGATAAAACAGCCAATATACATGTTAATAAGCAACTAGTTGATAGTAAATAAAGAGTTAAATTAATCAATAATTAATTAAAGTGTTAAAGTCAAAAATTTGTTCATGATATTTAATTTCCTTTTCCAAGTATTTATTCCTTAAATGTCATAAAAGAATCATTAATGGAAGTGTGGAGCGTCAGAAATGGTCTGATAACCTAGATTGTGTATCTATATTCAATTCATGTTCAGAACTGCATGTTGTCTAATTGTCCTCTTGTACATACCAAACTCAAACAGTCTTTGTTAATACTGTATTCTCACCTCTCTCTTGTTGTTTGCGGTTCTCGATGATTCCAGGTGTGTCGACAAAGTTGACTCGCTCCAGGAGTTTGTGCGGCATCTCGATTCCCACCAGCTTTTCCAGAAACCCCTGACCAAACTTCTCCAGGGGTGAGAAAGAGCGGGAACTGTCTGCCGCCATGACAATACCCTCAATGGTGCGAAACTTCTCACCGTGCATCAATACAGTGTATTCTGAGGTTGTGGGCTCAGCCCCTGAGAAAGCAAACGAGAGCAAGATGATAGAACAAAGGAGGTCTAAATTTAAAGATTGTAGTATTTATTAATTTGAAGATTGATGGGTTACCAGTGTAAAGCTGTTGTGAAGTGTCATCGAGACCTAGAAGATAATTGATCATGGAAGACTTGCCAACGCTCCAAGGACCCAGGAACAGGACCATGGGCTTAGAGGTGATCTCTGCATCTGAATAATGTGAAGAAAAGATAGAGTTCAACTGAGGATAGGGGTTCATTTAGATCCTTTTCATGGTAGAAGAGCAGTAGTCTGGAGTGATGTTGTAAAACTGAACCCAAAATCCAAAGACTTTACCTGACACTTCATGCTGCCGGAGCTCATTGTATTTGTAGGCCTTGTCCATGGGTTTAATTGCAGTGTTGTAGACATGCTGCAGCTTCTTCAGAGCATCTACAAGAGATATATTTGATGAAATTATAATAGAAACTGACTCATTCTGCTACCATTTGGAGATTTTGGTGAAGCTAAAAAAAATAACTGGTCTAATATGGTACACACTGTATAGCCCTGAAAGGTACTTTTATATATATTTTTTTATTTTCATTATATGACACACCGACAAATTCCCGTGAAGGTTCAGCTGCTGCCAGACGCAGCGTCTCTTCGATGTGAGACTGATCTCTTGTGGTAGGACCTGACTGGGTTGTTTTCTCCACTGCCAGAGAAAAACAGCCAGTCAAAATCAGCATAAAACATGAAGCTCATATAATAACATTTTCTTGTAGACCCACAAAATAAGCTTTTAATCATTTAGCAGTTTCAAATTAATCTTATTGCTGTTTTAGTTTGGTTTTCATTTTCCATTATTTATTTCTATTTATTATTTTAAGCTAACAAATTTATCAATTGTGTTTGTCTTAGTTTACAAAAATAATCTGCCTCCAAAACACAAACTGTCATGTTGGGTCCATCTACTGCAATCAGTCATCTACATCAGACATCTTTTTGGAGCCAGTTAAACACAATAAATGTACTATTAAAAGCATCTGAAACATTTCTTCCCTATTACAAAACTGTCCTCCATGCAGGCCAGAGAACATATTGTTATGAATGGCAATGGACTTGTGCCAAGGGTTATTTCTGTTAGGTTATTTTGGTGGTGGGTTTATTCCTGTGCCACCTTCGACCAAAGTTATCAGGTGGAGAAGCATGAGGAACTGACTTTTACAGTAGTGTCCTCTTCTGCCCCCTGGCCACGAGACAACAAAATAGTTCCTTCCCTCTGGTTATTTCCACTGTAATGGAGTTTAACCAGAGGCTTTAAGATGATTCTGAAGCTTTTAAATATATTAGACTTTACATTAGTATAAAGGTCCAGTCACATTAGCAATTTTATTTTCTCAGACTGAAGTCACTTTTAAACCAAATAGCTTACATTCTGCTGGCGAATGGCAAATTTACGTGACCGAATTGAACATAAGGAAAATCTGGCCTCCTACTTAATTTCTGATTGCATGGATTCGTATTTAAGTGACTCGATATCACGCATGAAATTTCACAGAACAACGGTAGAGGTGCCATCACATTTACCATTGTTTAGGTGTGCGATTTTCTAAATTATCTTTGCAAATGTACTGAATGATTCTAATTCGACAATTATCTTGTTTTTAAATGTCCAATATCATTTATGCTGAGTGAATAATATTGTACCTTTCGCAGAAGCTTTGGTTGCTGGTACATCATCTGACACTTCTTCCACTGTTGTTTCTTCAACAAGTGCAGAAACATCTTCTTGAACCTGTTCAGGAGTTGGTTCCACAAGGTCCACAGTTTCCTCTTGAGCTACTTCAACAACATTTGCAACTAGCTCCTTAGCTGCTTCTGCTTCCATCATTTCTTCAAAGGCTTCTGGTTCTTCTACAGATCGCTCTTCTTCCACAACCTCAGGAGCTCCTTCTTCCTCTGTCATAGCTTCCTCTTCTTCAGCTTCTTCCTCCGTTACCTCTTCTGATTTATCTTCCACTGGCTCTTCAGCCTGAGAAATTGCCTCTGCCTCGTCTTCTGTCTGAGAAATCTCCTTGTCCTCACTTGCCTCATCTTGAATCTGAAGAACCTCCTCTTCCTCAACTACCTCCTCTTCAGTCTGAGTAAGTTCCTCTTCTTCACCTGCTTCATCTTCAGTCTGAAGAACCTCCTCTTCCTCAACTACCTCCTCTTCAGTCTGAGCAAGTTCCTCGTCGTCTTCTTCCACAGATTCCTCAACAACTATTTGTGACTCTACATCACTGTCTACCTCTGAGATCTCCTCCTCCTTCACGTCTTCACGTGCCTCCTCAATAACTTCCTCCACCGCCGCTTCATTAGATTCATCTAACTCAGCTTCTGCCTCTCCTTCCTGTGCCTCCTCCTCAAATATCTCTTCAGAAGAGGTCTCTTGATTCAACTCTTCAGATTTCTCTTCTGAAACAACATCTTCCTCGTCATCCTCAGAGCTGACATCTTCGGCCGTGGTGTCAATATGTGCACCAGTGCCACAGGGTTGGCACACAGGTCTGTTTGGTGCAGGAGTGTCATTGGAGGAGCTCTGGCTTATATCCTCTGTGCCATCACAGCAGTTAAACAGCTCGCCTTCAGACTTCAGCTGGAACGGCACCAGTGACTCAGTCTCAGACTCCACTGCATCTTTGAAAGAAAAACAATAATATTACCCTAAATGTGATGGGATATAAATCAGCACATTCACACAGAATGAAGAATGAATCATATTTGATATTACAACATAATGGCGACAAAAGTAATTATGCACAAGTTCGATAAATTTTTTACCAAAACACCATGGAAAACCAAAACCTAAAAATAGT